AGGCCAGTCGGGACCCCAGGCCCCTGGCTCTTGGGTGTCCCTCGCGGTGGGCCCCTGGCCCTTTTGACCCTCATGGTCCTAGCCCCAGCATGGGCCAGTCGAGGGTACTCTCCCCTTTGGGCTGACCACCGCAGGACCCTGCCCCCTCGAGGCCTATTGTTGTGCTGGCCTTCTACCGGGCTCGATGTATGGCCCCTCTCGGGCTCCTCGTCGCTGGCCCCCTTCACACTGGGGCCTCTCACACTACCACCCCCCACACACCGGGGCTACACAACCCACTGGTTGCAAGTGGCAGGCACACACAGTGCACTGCCACACACTCCTATACTTCTGTGTCATGGGTTAGTGCCCCTTCCCCCCACCCCCCCCCAACACATTGGCAAAAAAACTTCCCCATCCTGAGCAGTGCTGAGTCGGGGACCAATCTCAGGGGGGGCACATGCCACCTGTACCCCGCCTACCAGTCGCCTGTGCTGGGGACCATGCAGGCCAGTGTGGAGGTTTAAGCCCCTCCCTAATCATACTCAGCAGCCTGCCAGGGCCTGGCCATGCCCCCCTTCAGCTCAGCTCCCCTCCAGCCTTCTGGCCATGACCAAAGGGAAGGGAGAGCTGCTCTAGCACCCCCCGGCTTCTAGCCTGAGACACTGCAGGCATGTGGCTGCTTCGTCTCAGTCCAGAGGGGATGTCTGTATGGTTACAAATTGATTCAGCCTAGCCAGGTTAGACTAACCTGCAAAGATTGAATCAATTCAGGCTCAGGCTTTTTGAATGTCTGTACTTAGCCCTGATGGCCAGGAGGTGAAAACCTTGGTTTTAAATACACCACAGTTTTTGTCTCCCACTGCTTGCTGCTGACCAGATGGCACACAAAAACAGCAGCACGTTTAAATACATGGTTATCACCTCCTAGCCATCAGGAGTGAGCGGTGTGCGGTAGGGCTGATTGGGCCCCTCCACCAATCGGGAACAAGGGGGTGCATGGAGGACTCCAAGATTAAAGGAGCCACTGTGTCACAAGCTGTGCCACAATTTAAACCAGGCCTTACAGGCTCTGGGTAGGTCTGTGTCGGGGTTCGGGACTGTCCCTGTGCCATTGAGACCAGGGGCTGAGCTCTGGTAAGCCCAAACTGCTGTGCCTCAAGACCAAGGGCTTGCTTGACAGCTGATATGAAAACCCCACAACAACAGCAGGAGGCAGTGGGTGTTTCCGTACCTTAGCCTAGATTGTGGGAACCCTAGTCCTCATTAAAAGAAAAAAACCCTTCCGTACCTCTGTGAACACGCCTGCTTCCGAAGGCATGTTATTTTGCCAACTGGTCTGAAGTCAAATCCTGCTTTTCTTTCTTTTTTTTTCTTGTTTTTTTTTCTTAAACCGGTTGAACATAAAGAAATCTGGTCACTGCAACTCACTGGCTCACTCCTGCACAAACCAAAAAAACTGGGGGAAAAAAAACCCAAAAAACCCCCATGACTGAGGTTTTTTGGGAAACAAAAAATTATATGACAAACCTCAGACCCTCTGGGCACTCCAGGGGTCACACTGGTCTCTGGGATCAAAGTTTCCCAGCTTGATTGATTGCTGCCTGTTTCCCTGCTCCAGAAAGGGATGGACTACATCTCCCAGCTGCCATTGCTTGAGAGAGGGGCTGTCAGCGCCTGGGTTTTGCTGTAGCGGAAGGTCTGTAGCAAGAGAAGGTGGCTCTGAGTCCGCTTGCGATAGGCAGGGCCGTGGTTGCATTCCCTGGGAGTATGGACACATCTGGAAAAGTAAGGCTCACTCCTTGCATTTCAGGCAGTCACTTGTGCAGGACGTGAGCGTGCGAGCTCGTCTGCGGCAGGGCCCTCGAGATAGCCAAGCCTGAGGCTGAAGTTGGCTGCTTATTGGTTCCTGCTTTCTTTTTCAAAACTAATCTGGGGGGCTGTCAGTTGGCAGCCTGGCACATGAAAACTGAGCTTGGGCTCAGGCAGCGCCCTACTCACGCTTATTCAGAAGTGCCCTCCGGCCGTGGAGATGTGCGGTTTGTGGGCACCCGAGAAGGATTTTGCCCCATAATCCCAGCCTAATCTGTGTGCTTGATACATGATACTGTTTTATATCGTTATTAGTAACTGTGTGTGTTTTATGAGATTCTAACTCTGTAACATGTCTAATTCATTACTAACAACCTTTGCTTGTATAAAGATCAAATTTGAAAAAAGAAACGGGAATAAGGAACCAATTCCAGGCTCATTTGGAAAGCGGGGGTGCAGGACTGGCCCCAGGGCAGCTCTTTTGTTTTCTCAGCTTATTCAAAGATTTCCTATCTGGCCAGGCTTCTTATGGTTTTTCCTCAAATGAAATCCCTTGGGTCACAAAAGAAATGCAAATAGGCAGCTCCAGTAAATGCTTGTTTAACTGCTAGCCTCCTCTTCTTCAGACTACAAGGAACAGCTGGGTGAAGGCAAGATACCTTAAAGTCCTTTTGTATGGAGAGCGTTTCCGAGGTGCTCAAACTCTCCGAAGGTTTGATTATAAACATTTTGGAGGTTTGGGGAGGGCTGGAATGATGTTGTAGTCATGACATTCCAGGAAACGTATGAGAGGCAATGATCTTTCGAGGAGTGATATAATTTATTGGACCGGCCGCAAGAGCAGGGAAAAATTTTTAAGATTTAAGATTTTTAAGATTTAGGTTTTAGTCAGTCCATCAAGCACAACATTCTCTGGACTAAAATCCCTCCCAACTATTCAGTTGGTTCAATAAAAGATATCACGCCCCCCCATCCCAATATCTTTGCCACAGGCTGTGACCAGAAACACCCACCAGTGGGCTATGGCTCAGAGGCATACATGTCAGTGGGCAGACAGGGGAGTAAGGTAAAACAGAAAAGTAACCTAGATTTTTTTCTTTAGGGAAATGAACCGAAACAAGAAACAGAGTCAGTCAGCCTTGCCTGGCTGCACTTGCACATTAACTGACTTCTAGCCCCACCATTTAAAAATCCTTCTGTTATAACTTCCTGGAAACCATTTTATAAATTTTTTTTTCAGCATTGGCGATCTCTGACCCTCGCATTATAATCCTCCCTGTTCTCCAAAAGCTCCTTTGAGGAGAAGCAGTGTTTTGCTCCAGCATCCCACACATTCCCCTGCTCCTGAAGGTTAATATTTGGCCATCTCTGCTGCTACGCATAGAGTATATTCACTGCATTGTTAATAAAATAGTATCTGCAATTTTTGTTTTTTGAGCCTCGCTTCAGGTCAGTGATAGAAATCTTATTGCAGAGACACGGTCTGAGAGAGAGCAGTGTACTGTTGTAGCATGCTCCCCCTTCTGTGCGGAGGTGGCTGGTTGTCTACGGAAATGTCAGGAGCTTGTTTTCACTCTGTACAAAGCAGTAAGAGCTTAGAATTGAGGCAGGATGTATATTTGACCCTTTATCATTCACACATAACAACATAACTATGTGCCCCAGGTAGTGTAAACACATGACTTCTTTGATCAAGGTAACTGTTCTGTGTAGTAACCACGCTATCTCCATTACAGCACTGCAGTTCAGAGCAGTGGTTCAAAGAAAAGATGGAAAATGCCATCTCTTAATTTTCACTTGGTTATTGACTACAGAAAAGTACAGTAGAGCTGTTGCAGAGAACTCAAAGCCCACAATAAAGCAGAATGTTTTTCACCCTGTGGATTCTTATTGGAAATCTTTGGGTTTGTCTTGTGAATTATATTTGTACACCTAACAGTGCTAACTTTGTGTGGCCTTGAAAGGATCTTCAAGTCATCCCAGGATGCCACAACACCCTGGTTGAGAATCACCACCCTAGAGCTAGAGGAGAAAGTCTTCCCTATTTGGCACATGAAGGGCACAGAGGCACAGGCAGACAAGGTGGCTTGTTCAAGGCTGTGCAGGGAACTTTTGTTGGCTCTCTCTTTTGGGTGCTTTCAACCCAGTAATCTAACCTCATATTTATTAAGTCCAGTGCCTTAACCAGAAGACCATCCTGGCCCATGCTCCGCCATTCAGCTCCAGTAAGAAATAAGCCAAACTTTCACCCTTGGAGGTTTCTCATGGGAGAGGAAATTGTAATAACTGCATCTCCTTAGATCCTCATCCTAAAGGAAGTTGAGAGCTAAGGTAGCTCTAAATTCTAAATCACCATTATGATCTTGGTCTGCCCTGGACCAAATTACACAGACTTTGGGGCCTGTCTAAACCATGGCAGCCTCCTTTGGTGCCCTTTGCATGGCAGTGCAGCAGTTCTGCCTTCCACCTACCCTACCACCTCTCACTACAGCATGGCTTTAGAAGAGGCCTTCATCAGGCAGCCTTGTGGCTGACTTAATGGTACCTGTTCTAGAAGAATACTCTTCCCATCATTTGTGGGACTTTCAAGCCCAATTTCTACCACTCTGGCTCTTTTCACCAATGTCAAGGGATAAAGGTGAAGATGAAGATTTTCCCTCTATTTACTAGAGACTGGTAAAAATGGAAATTGAATATTAAAGGCAAAAATTCCTGTACAACTCTAATTGAAACTTTTTTCACAGGTTATAAAATGCAGGGCAGCTGTTGCCTGGGAAGTGGGCAAACCCCTCTCAATTGAGGAGGTAGAGGTCGCCCCACCAAGGGCTCATGAAGTTCGTGTTAAGGTAAGACTCTCTTCCCTGAAAGGTCCCCTATGGCTCTCTGCACTATTCTTTATTCTACCTGACTTGAGAGGCAAAACGCAGGGTGGAACCTTAGAGACTAAATAGTTCATGGAGACATGAGCTTTCAAAGCAACAACCTACTTTGTCTGATGCTAAGGTTGATTTGAAAGCAACTTCGCCATTAGATTATGGAATTATGTTACCTAGCAATGAACTGTATAGCTTTTTTTTTCCTTTTTCATTCCTGGTAGTTGTTAGTGGCATTACTTTATGTATTCACCCTTGGGATGCTTGATTCCTGGAACACTAAAAACCGGAGGTATCCTAAAAGTGAGCTTGTGGTCCTCTTAAGCAGCACTGAATATAAGGTGAATTAAATTGATGGAAGCTATTACATATGGGCAGATAGAGAGAGGTCCTGGTCCATGGACCAGAGGTAGAACTAGAAATTTTGGTGCCATGGGTGGGAGAGGAGGGGAGGTGGGAGCAGGAGAGAGGGGATGCCAGGCACTGGAGTGCTGGGAGGGGTGCCAGATGCTTATCTCTCACACAGTGGCTGCTGCTGCCACACCACTCCCCAAACAGGCTGGTGCAGCATGCTGCGAGCAGCAGCAGCCATGGCACTGTGGGCTCCCTGGAGCTGTCATTCTGTCATCCCCCTCATATCAGTGCTGAGAGCTGGTGTCACCCTCACACACTGCTAATTATACTGTTGCCACAGACCAATTTTTAAACTGGATAACAAAACTGTGACCTAGAATCAAATAGCAAAACAAAAAACTACTCTGATAAGCACGGATAAATGGAAGCCTGTGTACATACCCCAGGGCTGATCTCTCCTTTCTGTTTCCATACAGATAGTGGCTACAGGAATCTGCGGGACAGACGATCACGTTCTGAAAGGTTCTTTTCCCAACATAGATTACCCAGTTATTCCTGGCCATGAAGGAGCTGGGATTGTGGAGAGCATTGGAGAAGGAGTGACTGGTGTGAAACCAGGTATGGAGAAACAGGATTCACCATTCATAATGGTTTAGTGGTTTAGGGTCCCAGAATGTTCAGTCTGTCATGGGCATCATAGATTTAGTATTGATTGTTCACCGCTGAAGTCTATGAGAGCTGTGGCAGGCCATTGCTGTGTGGCCTATATATAGTTGTAAAATAACCTAGGGCATTTATACACGTACCTTTGTCTGCTCCAATGCAGAAATCCAGTGTATTAGAGCAGACTCAATTAATTGAGTCTGGGGAGCATGCGAGCTGACACGCCCAACGCTGCATTGCATTCATTTGTATAAATGGCACAATGCATGTCAGTGCACAGAAGAGGGCAGTGGTGCGCTTTTGAATTTCATAGATTTCATAGATTTCCAGCCCCCTGCCCAAGGGCAAGAAGTCAGCTAGGGTCAAAGGATCCCAGCAAGATAAGTGTCCAAATGTTTCTTAAAAGTGTCCAGAGCAGGTGCTGCACCACCTCTGGGGGAAGTCTATTCCAGGTCTTGGGAGCTCGGACAGTAAAGAAGTTTTTCCTTATGTCCAGCCTAAAACGGTCTTGCAGGAGTTTGTGACCATTGGACCTTGTCATCCCTTGGGGTGCCCTGGTGAACAGGCGCTCCCCCAGATCCTGATGCATACTCCACAGGTACCTGTAGGCAGCTACCAAGTCACCCTTTGAGCCTGCGCTTCTCCAGGCTGAAGAGTCCCATAGCTCGCAGCCTCTCTTCATAAGTCCTGTTCTCTTGACCTCTGATCATGTGTACGGCTCTCCTCTGGACTCCTTCAAGCTTCTCCACGTCCCTTCTGACCTGTGGAGCCAGGAATTGGATGCAGTACTCCAGCTGCGGCCTCACCAAGTCTGAGTAGAGTGGGAGGATGACATCCTGGGTCTTGCTTAGATGCATCAGTTGAGATTTGTTTGCTTTGCCAGCTGTGGTATTGCATTGGTGGCTCATGTTCATCTTGTGGTCAGTCATGACCCCCAAGTCTCTTTTGGTCTGGTGCTAGTGAGTGTAGCATTGCCGAGCCTATAAGTGTGATGCGGGGGTTTTTTTCCCCCCAGTGTGTAACACCTTGCATTTCTCCATATTGAATGCCATCAGGTTTTCATCCGCTCACCTTGCAATCCTATCGAGGTCGGTCTGGATCACCAGTCTATCCTCAAGTGTGGACATTCTTCCCCAAATTTGGTGTTGTCAGCTAACCTAGCCAGTCCACTTCTGACACCAGTGTCCAGATCGTTTATGAAGACATTAAATGGTACAGGTCCAAGAACGGAGCCTTGGGGGATATCACTAGTCACCATGTGCCATGTTGATTCAGTTCTGTCAACTACCAGTCTCTGGGTCGAGCCTCGGAGCCAGTTCCCCAGCCATAGGACTGTGGAGTAGTCAAGGCTGCAGTTGGCCAATTTTTCCATGAGGACATCATGGGACATCAGGTCATAGCCTTTTTTAAAGTCCAAATATATAACATCAACCTCTTCCCTTTTGTCCAGGTGATACATCACCTGGTCATAGAAGGAAATGAGATTGGTCCGACAAGACCTACCCACAGCAAACCTGTGCTGGCTATCCCTCTGAATGTTGCTTTCTGTTAGCCTGTCAAGGATGGTTTTTTTGATAATGTTTTCCAAGATCTTCCCAGGGATTGAGGTCAAACTGCTTGGCCTGTAGTTTCCCAGATCTTCTTTCTTCCCTTTCTTGAAGATAGGCACCATGTTGGCCCTCTTGCAATCTTCAGGTACTTCACCTGAGCGCCACGAATTGTTGAATATCCTTGCCAGCAGCCACGCTATGATGTCTGCCAGTTCCTTTGGTACTCTTGGGTGCAATCTATGTGGACCAGCTGATTTGTGGGGGTCCAGCCTCTCAAGATGCTCCCTTACAAGATCCATGCCATGGTGGGCATATATTCATCCTTACCCTGATCATCCTGCATCATGTTAGGCAGAGTAGTCTCTTTGGGCTGGTAAAAAGCCAATGCAAAGTAATCATTAAGCAGGCTGGTTTTCTCCTGGGTGTCAGTGGTCAGCTGCCCCAACTGGTTTAGCAGGGGTCCAATGTTGCCCTTGTTTTTCTTTCAGTTCCCCTCATATCTGAAGAAGGACTTTTTATTGTCAGCCAGATGGAGTTCAGGTGCAGCCTTGGCTTTCCTAGTTCACTCCCTGCAAGTGTGGACCAATGCTGAATACTCCTCCTTAGTGGTGTTTCCTATCTTCCTTCCTTTATAAGCATCTCGTTTTACACACAGGAGGTCCATGAGTACCCTGTTGAGTCCTGTTGGGGGTTGTTAAGCCCTTTTACCACCTTTCCTATGGGTTGGGATGGACTCCCCTTGTGCTTCTAAGGTCACTTTCTTAAGGCGCAACCACCCATCATGAACTCCCCTCCCTGTGAAGTCATGGCCTCTCAGGGCCTCAAGAGCAAGCCTCCTGAGCTTATGAAAGTCAGTTTTCCTAAAGTCAAGGACTACTGCATTGCTGGCTGACTTGCCAGCTTTGCGATGGATAGTGAAAGTGATCAGCTCATGGTTACTGTCTGTCACCCAGCTTCCCTTCGATTCTTAGGTCGCTGATTAGTTCATCCCCTTTGGCCAGTACCAAGTCCAGCAGTGCCTTACCTCTTGTCAGCCCATAAAATTCTTGAGTCAGGTAGAGCTCATCCACACATGTAAGGAAGCTCTGTGACCACTCGGATTTGGCCGAGTGCTCTTCCCATGAGATGTCTAGGTAGTTGAAGTCTCCCATGACAACCACGCACCAAGAGCGTGCAGCCTCAGCCAGCTCCCTGGCGAATTCTTCGTCAAGCTCTTGCTCCTGATTTGGAGGTCTGTAGTAGACTCCTATCATTGTATCCCCTTCACCACATTCCCCTCGTATTCTAACCCAAAGGATCGCCAGTCGTCCTCCTTGGTGCTAATCTCAGCTTGTAAGGATGTGTAGCTCTCCTTCACATACACAGCTACACCACCGCCCCTTTTTTCAGCATGATCTGTCCTGTACACAGTATAGCCAAACTCCTAGCATTAGTGTACAGGCAAGTAAGTATGCCATTGGAGGCTCTCGGCCTCCTTTTACTCATGGAGAAGCTCTGTTCCTGGGCTGGGGTAGGAGTGAGTTCCCTTGAGCATCTTAACCTGCTATTTTGCGGTTGGTGCTTGGTGAGCTTGCTCTGGTGGTTGTCCGCCAATCCCCCTGCGAGCTTAGTTTAAAGCCCGGTTAAGCAGGTCTGTCATTCTGGCTGAGAAGAGCTTCTTCCCCAGCGGAGTGAGGTGGAGGCTGTCCCTTCCCAACAGACCACTGCCTCTCTCTCTGAAGTGTGGACTGTGATCATAGAAGCCAAAGCCTTCACAATGGCACCAGCATGGCAGTCTTCTGTTTACTGCCTCAATTTGTCTCTCCCTCCTCAGTCTGTGACCCGTAACAGGAAGGATCAAGGAAAAAAACACCTGTGCCCCCAACCACCTTCAATGTGTTTTAGTTCAAAAGCGTGCCACCGTCATTTTCTCAGCGCTAACATGCATTTCATCATTTTTACAAATGCATGCGGTGCAGCACAAGCATGTGTACAAATGCGCCTAGAGACCAATTTAAATTATTAGCAGTATGTCTGCATACAGTGAGGAGAAAGAGAAAAACTATCTCTTTACTTAAGGGTTTTTTAGGGAGACAGCATGCCTTTTCATGTTCTCTAGCGAGACTTCTCACATATATTACTCAAGATGGTTGCTTTTACCATGCCTCACTAATTTGATCAAAATATTCTTTGAGCAGAGGGGACCACTGACTTTCTTTAATATGTATTAGCTATTATTAGCAAAATGTGTTTCTTTTCCAAAAATGTGGAATCTAAGAACACCTGCAGGGCTAACATTTGGGGTTTGAGATGCAAAATCACCCTTTTCTTTAACTTAAAAAATGTGGTTTCTTTTTCAGTTAAATTTTGGAACTGTATCAACAATTAACTTTTTAAAAACAAGTTTACTATGCAGAGTGTTTTATAAAATAGCTACAGTTCATACTTGAAAATAAGACTGTTTTTAGAACTTAGTCACTATATAATGTCTTGTATAAGTTAGAATATAATTGCTGAGCATCATTTTTAATACTGTAAATCTCCGGCTGAGTAGATGGCTCTGCATGTGGTGCTGGTATTGGAAAACCCAACCAAGGTGCTGTAATCGACAGCAGATACGTAGTGTAGAGTTGTTGAGTGAGATTTGACCCAAGATGGATGTTAGTTTGCTATTTTATTAGGAGATAAGGTCATTCCTCTTTGCCTGCCTCAATGTGGAGAATGCAGCTCCTGTCTGAATCCAGATGCCAACTGTTGCTTGAAAACACAGTAAGTTTGTTTTAATTTCTCTATTACCTGAATCTCTCAGTCAGCAATGATGACTGTATCAGACATGGCTTATTTTACTAACAAGTATGGATGTATCTCTACAGTCTTTGTGAACCACAGAACCTGATGCCTGACAAGACTAGCAGGTTCACCTGCAAAGGGAAACAGATTCACCATTTCCTGTGGATCAGCACCTTTTCAGAGTACACAGTTATGCCCGATTCCACAATTGCAAGAATTGATGCTGCTGCTCCTTTGGATAAAGTCTGTCTGCTTGCCTGTGGATTTTCCACAGGTTATGGGGCTGCCATCAATACTGCTAAGGTGTGTGCATTTGTGTTGCAAGGACAAAAGGCACAAATATTTCCTTAGGACATTAACAAATTGTGTGGAGCTCAAACCTTTTCCTCCATTTCACAGAGTTATATTTTATAATTGGATTCTAACAAAATCCTGTTATCTGTGTTTATGCAGGTTAAACCTGGTTCTACCTGTGCCATCTTTGGTTTGGGAGGAGTTGGGCTCTCTGTTGTCATTGGCTGTAAAACAGCCGGAGCTTCCCAAATCATTGGGATTGACATCAACAAGGATAAATTTACCAAGGCCAAAGAGGTGGGAGCAACTGAGTGCATCAACCCACGGGATTTCAGGCAGCCCATTCAGGAGGTGCTGACTGAGATGACTGGTGGTGGTGTGGACTATTCCTTTGAAGTTGTTGGGGATGTAGATACTATGGTACGTAAATTGTTAGTACACATTCCCTCTGCTCATCAGTAGCCTGATATTAATTTAAACCTTAATGTAGTGTTCTGTCTGGTGGCTGGACTTGCTATGCATGTATTCTACAAAATATTAGGGGCATGTCCAGACCAGTGCGGTCATGCAGTATGTGGCACTGCAAACACGTTTGCAGCACCACATACTGCACAGTCCAGAGTTCTCTGCACTGCAAGAACATGCTGCCTGAGCATGCACTGCTCCGTTTTTTTTCTCACGGTTTTTTCTGAGCCCTGAATATCCACACGCCACCCCCCGCTCATTGTCCAGCTGCTCACCACCCCCTGACCTCCCACTTGTCATCCGGCCGTGCCGTATTCCATCATTATGAAATGGAAAAGGCAATGGGTCAAAAAAACTGTGGAAAAAACCCCAAGCAACGCATGCTCGAGCCACATGCACTGCTAAAAAGTGGAGCTAGGCTGCTTGGACCCACACTACAGCTGCCAGCCAGGCTCTGCCCGGCAGAATCACTACAGCTGCAGCTCCGGGAGGCCCCCAGGACCCCAGGTAAGGCTGCTGGGGCTAGTACAGTGCTGGCCTCAGCCTCCCCTATGCCACCCAGGGCAACTGGCCATGCACTAAAGTGCATCCCTGGTATCCCTGGGGAACCAAACATCCACGCACCTCTGGACGCACCCAAGGAATCCATTTGTTTTTAGAGCAACAGACATGCTAGTTTCCAACAACAGCTCTCAAAACAAAGACTAAATCTTCCACGGCTTATTCAAAGAAGCCTGTTTTCTTGCTGTATAAATAATAAGGAATGCATAACTGGATTGAATGTATTTTTAAAACGGATATATAAAATCTTGGATTTCAGCCATACCAAATAGTATAGAGAGGAGGTTTTATTTCCTACACTTTTCTTCTCCTCTTTGTGATTTTTCTTATGTGCTTTTTTGATCAGACGGCTGCATTGGCATCTTGCCACATGGGTTCTGGTACCTGTGTGGTGATTGGGGTACCTGCTTTAGGATCTCACATACCGTTTGATCCTATGTTGCTGTTAACTGGACGTACCTGGAAGGGGAGCATTCTTGGAGGTATAGAAATAATGAAAAGTGAATGATGCTTACACCTTTCACAAATAACAATCCCCATTAACCAAAACCTGGCATTTTCAATCTTGCTATCTCATTGCTGTATTCCAGGGGTTGTCAACTGGGGGTACGCATACCCCCGGGGGTACTTTGAAAGGTCCCAGTGGGTATGCAGGGTCAGGCAGGGACAGAGCACCACCACCCCATGCTGCTGCCTCACAGGAGCAAGGCCAGGGTGGGGCAAGAGCAACAGCACCCTTCTGTGGGTTACATAGGCACCGCGCTGCCACACTCCTGCCACTCACCACCCTCCCCTATTCCTTCTCCAGCCACTCGCCACCCCCTGCTCATTGTCCGGCTGCTTACCACCCCCCTACCCGCCACTAGTCATCTGGCCATGCACTACCTCCCCGCCCTCTTGTCATCCGGCCGTGCCATATTCCATCTTTATGGAATGGAAAAGGCAATGATCCTTGTATCACTGCCAAAGTAGAGTGTAAAAATCAAACAGTTGTAAATATATTTTATGTTTGAACTCGGATTTGTACATAAATTTGAAAAACTAGTATTATGTTTTTTCAGGGTAAACACCTGAAAAATAAAAGGACCCTTAGTTTTTTTCAGATGTTAGATTTTCATGATGGACTCTAAATCTCTGTTCACCTTTGAAGACTTGGCCTGTACTTACTGGTCTGATAGTGTATGATTTATACTATGAACATTTGTGAAGGAACAGATTTCATTGTGCTACTATATAACAAAGAAGTCATGGTGCCAGACGGTATATGACAGGTACCCCAAATAGGCATGGTGACAAGCATACAAGTTATGTAGCTCTAGTGCCTGGACCTATGCATGCAGATAACTCCTCAGTGCATGTCCAAGTCCTAATGGAAGTATTAAATGCCTTTGTACAGCTAGCCTGCCCAATGAGCTATACCAGGCTCAATGCCTTGAATCTTCACTGTACTTAAGCATTACTTATTCAGAGTGATTTATTTGATTAATTGTGTGTGGCTTTTATTTTATCTAGGCTGGAAGACAAAGGATTCTATCCCTAAACTGGTTTCTGGTTACATGGAGAAGAAATTTAATCCAGATGTATTAATAACCCACACACTGCCTTTTGAAAAAATCAATGAAGGTTTTGAATTGTTATGTGCAGGAAAGAGGTGAGATTTGGAATTACTAATATTTCATATAACAAACACAACTTGCATGTAAAACTTAGTGCTGTTCAACATGCTGCTAAATGTTTTTAAAAGACCAAGGCAACAGTAAAGCAGCATTATCGGATTTCGTCTTATATCAAGGCGCAAAAGCATATTGGCAGTAGCATACTGTAATTTGAATTTGTAATCAGAAATTGAAATCCTCCAATCTAGAGGTTTAAATTAAGTAGCATTTCTGTTGCATGTGGTATTTCATTAATACTAACAAAGATTCATGAAATCAGAACATCTCATTTTAGTAATGGGAAAATATAGGTAAAGGAGACTGCATAAAGAGGATATAAAAAAGAGTCAGTGACAAGAATACAAGAGAGAAGAAAAAATATAAAAACTGTGGTGCAAGAGATGAGGGAGGAGGATATGGTGGGATATGCTTCTGAACAATTTTTATCAGCAGCATTTGTGTTCGTGGCTGACCAGAGCTGGTTTAGGAATATGATTTACAACAAGGAAGATGGGGTCAAAAACAAATCAAGTATGTATCAGCACATCCAAATGTATAATTTTGTTGCTTGTAACTACTTTCATTTCACATTTCAGTATTCGCAGCATCCTGTACTTTTAAGATTGAAAACAGTGGTGTGCCTGCATGTCAGTATCTCAGCACTTCTTGTCCAGAATCTTTTCTTCAGTGACTTCTTTTTATGCGATTGCTTCCTAAAGAAAGCTGTGAGAGTCCTTGGATAATTCTTACATTTGCAACTGCAAAGCATGACCTGGAAGAAAAATGAAAAGATTTTGTTTAATAAGGAAGCAGCTCTGTTCACAAAGAATGCTTTGAAAGGAAGCTTAAAGGCAGATGAGAGAGCTATATGGGAGAAAAGTAGATCTACATCTTGAAAAGATGTAGATTGGGTTGGTCACCTCACTGGTAAACAGGCTTCCTTCACCCCACTCCATTGCTACATCTCCTTACTTGCAGCTTTCTCTTGCTTATACATATGACAGTTAAGATAATCTCAGTTAATCTCAAATATTTTGGAAAGTAGCCTGCATCCAGCCTTTCACACGATAGCCCTGCCAGCACAACACTCCACTCTGCTCCTGCAGCCCTCCCTGCTCCCATTCCCATCTCACCACAGTTTGCAAAAAACATCTCAGCCCTGATCCTGCAAGCTTTTAAGGTAGCACAGAAGAGGGTATCTGGTAAATTCAGAGGTGGCTTTCTCTGTAAACAGTGGGTTGGTGTGAAGGGGGTGGGGGCGTGTGGTCGCAGAACAGAAAAGATTGCGTTATTCATTTAGAGAAGTGATTTTTGACAGTGTCAAATGGCAGTGACTGAGGGAGACAGAAGAAGCTCCCAAAAATAAGTTTGATTTATTGTATTCTTTCTTGTAGGGGATTTAGGAGGTATGAAGGGTGGCAGGGTAAATAATAATAAACAACCTCAATGGAAAGCATTCCTGCCTCCGACTGCCTATTTGGAACATTAGAAAATTCCCACAAGAACTGGACTGGGCTGTTTTTCATGGCAAAATTGGAAATTTTTTTCCAGGAATCTGTCAAACCAGTGTTTTTGCCTGATATGAGTTGAAGGGAATCTTACTGAAAGACACGGGTGCCATAAATCGTGATACAAAACATTTGACCTAAAAGTCAAACCAACCTGAGCATTGCATAGAAAAAAAATATCCTATTCCTCAAATAATTCTCCTTTAGAGAAATTTTGTATGACTTATCTTGGTAGGCTAGGTCTGTGGGAGTTAAGCGGGTAATTCCTACTGAAATTTATTGAGGTTTAATGCCCAATTACTGTTGAAATCCCGGGTCTTTTTTCTTTATTAGTTATGCTCTGCCTTTGTGAATGTGTACACCTCATGTGAAAATAATATAAAAATATTTTGAAAGAAAAATCTAAGCAGGAATAAAACCAATATCCTACAAGCTCCCCACTTTCTGCCAGTACTATGAATAGGTTCACCGGGGAATGAGACAAAAGCTCAGAGACAAGTAAAGAGCCAGGAGACCTTGATCAAAACCTAGTAAGAAAAGGCAACGGGAGAAGTCTGAGCAATGTTCTTGGAGAGAAATTGGGGCAATCAGTTACCTTAAATGTTTTTATATACTAATGTGAGAAGCACAACGAAGAACTTGAGGTTCAAAAAGTGGAAACTTGGCCATATTACTAGGGCAGAGCATAAGAGTATTGCATGGGCATGTAGGGAGAAAAATCAGGAAGATCAAGGCAAGACATCAGATGCAACTGGTAAAGGATGTAAAAGACAGTAAAAAGGGATTCTACAAGTATGTCGGAGGCAGACCAAAGACAGGGTAGGTTGTTTATTGAATGTAAAGGGCAATCTGCTAATGGATGATGCAGGGAAGGCCAAAGTATCTAATGCTTTTTTTAAACTTTGGTCTTCTCCGATAAAGCTAACAGGTGACACATACAGTTGGCAGCAAAGATGGGGAGGGAGACACCCAGCATAGAATAGTGGACCAACAGAGTAGAGATTACTTAGTTCTGAAAAATCAGCACAGCTAGCAGGATGCACTATATAGCACTCAAGGTTGGCTGAAGTATTTTCAGAGCCATTAACTATCACCTTTGAGAACTTGTAGAGTCCCTGCTGGCTGGAAAAGGGCAAATAAAGTCAGAACCACAGCAAGGGGGGGGTGCCAGTATTGTACTGGCACCAAGCACCCTCACACAGGGCAGCACCAAATCAAACTCAATTCATATTACATAGTAGCACATAGGGGGTGCTCTGCATGTGACCTGCACCAAAACTCAAGACTGACATAGGTAACCTTTTGCCCACAATGATGCATCTGTAGCTATTTGCCTTGCCCACATAAAGATGTATTTAATTCTTCATATTTAAATCTGTAATCTTTGCTCCTGTCTTAAATACTTTGCTTCAAACCTACTTTGCAAAACATCTACTTGCCCAAACATTTCCTGTTTGGTCCTTAACTTTGCTCTTGTGAAATCATCCCTCTTCACCTGCAAATCTGGTGCCTTTAACATCTGCTGGTGCAGGCCATGAGTACTTGGAGACCTAATGTAAGGCTGGGGGTTTTGAGTCACTTTGCGAAACAGGCAAAGAAATGGTAGATTTTTTTCACTAGACATGAATTTGTCAATAAATGGATTCCAAATGGAAACTCCTCTCAAACTCCAGGAATGGGCTCTATATGGATTTTAACATACAGGCTTGTACCTGTCTGTATAGTGAGTCTGAATTCTGAATTTAGAGACAGTCAAAACTTGAAGAAACCCACAGTCTGTCTCTAAACAACATGACACAGGTCTAAGAGTATAACAAAGTCTGTCATTAGGAAGATCATGGCTTATCAATGAGATAATTGTGAGTGTTTGGAGGCCATTTTATTTTAGGAGTGCAAATACTGAATTTATGTACTACACTTCAAGCAGGCAAGTCTTGAAATTTTTTAGCAGTAGAGCACACCAAGGTTTTCTAGAAATATATGTTATTCTTATTCTTAAATATATTCTTAAATATTCTTAAATATATGTTAGTCTTATTCTTAAGAAAAAGATTTACTTTTCTGCCTGCAGTCAACTTGTGTATTATACAGCATATAGAGAGATGGCAGAAGTAAGCCAAGGAGACAGAAACATCAAATGTCAGTGCAGTGTACAGGCTATTCATGACATTTGTGAAAAACTTTGCTGTGTATGTAGCCTTGTCCAGGGAACATTTTAATTCTTCAATTTGCAGCATCTTTTTGCTTTAATCCCTTGAGAATGAAGATCATATAAAGGTGCCAGCAGTATGAACTTCTCACTTAACATTAACTCTGGTTCTTGTACTGTATACATGTCAAAATAAAATCTCAGCTAGCACTTCCACCTAGAGCCACACAAATTGGACATATCTAAATCTGGAAACCTCTAAACAGAATTAGAAATTATTTTTGGTTTGAGCTAATAATTCAGACAACAGGCTAAGGCTTTGAAGTATGTGAAAAAATGCAGTGAGGATATGATACTAGAGATGGGTCTGCTTCCAGAATTATGCTAAATTAACCACTCCTTCAAGTAGTCATAATGGATTTCAAGTATCCTTCTTAGCACCAAGTGCCTAGTGTAACTATAAGCATAATATATACCATATTAATCAATTAGCATTCTGTAAGCAACTGTGAAATTTAGGCCAGCAGAGGATTGTTATCTTTAATAAAAAGGCAATTCTTGCAAGAACCCAATGGGCACGTCCACACATGCAAGCACATCTGCTTGCAGCAGCAAAAATAGAAGTGGTGCAAATTTAAGCCGGGGCTTTTTGCCTCAGCGCATGTGCTCAGACATGCACTTTGTGGTGGAGCAAAACACACACACACACATACACACACACACACATCTAGAGAGAGAGACAGCAATTAGTTGGGCAATGCTTTATTGGTATATTTACAATGTTAAAGCAATGTGGAAGCCTACCAGTGTCTCTGTCATCATGATAAAATAAATTCTAAATACCTATATGTGTTGATGTGTACTTTTGAATTTCTTCTCACATGATGGGTGTGTGATGGGATGTGGAGTTTGCAGGAAGGGGGTGGGAAGGGGTGTGGGGGAAGGCGGTGGGTGGTTGTGTGTGGAGGGATGTGGTTTAGTGTGTGGGTAGGTGTGGGGCAATTGCTGGGGGACTGTGGGTGTGGGGGACCTTGTGGGGGGACTGCTCAGGAGGGGTGGGTCCCCTGGCCCCCGCAGGGTGCAGCCCCCCCCACAGCACATGGAATGTCCCCTGGCCCAGGGTCCCACCTCCTCCTGGAGGGCCCCAGCCTCCCTGCCCAGGGTCCCAGACATCCTGGAGGGCCACAGCCCCCATGCCCAGGGTCCCAGCTTTCCCTGGAGGGCCACAGCCCACCTGCCCAGGGTCCCAGGCACTCTGGAGGGCCCCAGCCCCCCTGCCCATGGCCCAAAACTTACCTTTAGCAGCAGCAACAGAAGTGGGGCACTCTGAGCCAGGGTGGCAGAACCCGGTGCGGCATATGGGGACTGCGCACCGGGCCCAGCCAGGTCCTGCCCGCCCTGGGGATTGTCTACCGCCCAGCTGGGCCAGGCCCTTGCTGGTAGGACCCAACGTGGCACATGGGGACCGCATGCTGGGCCCAGCCAGGTCCTGGGGCCTCTCTGCTGCTGGGCCAGGCCCTTGGTGTCAGGACCTGCCACCCTCAGGGCCCCTCTGTCACCTGGCTGGACTGAGCCCTTGGTGGCAGGACCCGGCATGGCATGCGGGGACCGTGTGCCGGGCCCAGCTGGGTCCTGGCAGCCCTGAGATCCCTCTGCTGCCCAGCCAGGCTGGGCCCTTGGTGGCAGGACCCAGCGCAGCATGTGGTCCCCACGTGCCAGGCCCAGCCAGACCCTGCCGCCCTCGGGGCCCCTCTGCCACCCAGCTGGGCCAGGCCCAGGGCGGCAGGGCCTGGCTGGATCTTGCTGCCCTGGGCCCGGCCCGGCTGCATGGCACAGGGGCCCCGAGGGTGACAGGACCCAGCTGG